GGTCAGGTGCTTCCATTCTGCCATATTGTGGAAGCTCCCAGCTAGCTAGACCCGCCCAGGTCCTGCGCCTGTCCTCTGTCGCGGATTCCCCATTCTCATCATCCCGAGGACTTTGCGGAGCTCTGTTCCTTACAGACCCGGGTTGGCTTGATGGTGGTGATTCCCAACTGATCCATCCTCCAGCATTTCTGCTGATGTTTATTAAGCAGACAGCATTAATTAACAGGTAACATATTCATTGAACATCTACAAAGTGTGTGACGCTACTAGGTAAGACAGGGTCCCCAACCATAAGGGGTCTGCAGAATAAAGTTAATATTTCTTTCTCTTTTTTGGGGGGGATGCTGGGGATCGAACTCGGGACCTCATGCCAGGCCGCCGCTGTGCTGCTGAACTACATCTCTGGCCCTAAAGTTCCTATTTCTTACTCTAGAGTTTAGTGCTCCCTGTGTTATGCTCACCTTCCATTCTGTCTCCTTGGGAGTTCGTTACTTACGAACTTAGGGAGGCCTAGCAGTTTCTTTCTTGGAAATGCCTTCTTTCAGTCTCCCTTCTCCAAGTCCAACTGGGGACCTTTAGGCTTCCTAATGGGAGACAGTCAAATGGCTTCGACAGCAATGAAATGTGTCAAGATTATGTTTAGTTGGGAATCATAAAAGGAAAAAATATAGTAGAAACTTTCTCTTTCCATGAAAAATGAGTCCAAAGGTTGGCGGTTCAAGACTGCTCAACCATCTTCAGCATTTAGTTATAAATCTTAAGATCATCTTATTATGGTTCCCATCCAAACAGTGGAGAAAAAAGTGAGAAGACAGATGTAAGAAGACTGTCGTAGAAATCCTATACATTCTTTTTTTTCTTTTTTGGAGGCAGAGCCTCACTGTGTAGTCCAGACTGGCCTCAAACTCACTATTTGGCCCAGGCTAGCCTCTAACTCACAGCAATCTTTCTGCCTCAGCTTGAAGTCCTGTACATTTTTGCTTAAATATGGCCAATATATAAATCACTCAGCCAAAAATATCACATACCTGTATTTAGCTGCAAAGGAGCCCTGAGAATGATAGGTTATTTATTTATTTAGCTGAGTACAGTGTGCCCAGCTAAAATAGGAGCTCTAGGGTTGGGAATGTAGCTAGCTCAATGATGAATACTCATCAGTATTCAATCAGAGAGGGTATTATACTCAAGTATGAGGTAGTGAGTGCATGGCCCAGGGTTCAATCCCCAGCACCAAAATTAAATACCAATAAGTAAAATATACAAGTAGAGGCTTATTAATAAAGAAGAATGGAACTAGGCATAGTGTCACACTGTAACCCTAGATACTTGGGAGGCTAAAGCAGAAGGATCACAAGTTTGAGGTCAGCCTGGGGAAATTAGTGAGACTATCAAAATTTAAAAAGGGCTGAAGGTGTGGCTCAGTGGAAGAGGCTGGCCTAGCATGCCCTGGTTCATTCCTTAGCAACACACAAAGATGCACACGCACACACACACACACACAGTGAATACTCTTCAGCTGTCTTTCATGGGCAATATTTAAAATCAGGTCCCAGTATCTCCAAACTTTTGAGGTAGCAACAACAAAAACCCACTGGAAGAGGACCCAATAAAGAAAGCTTAGAAGCACGGACCAGTGACCTAAGAGGAAAACCAAATAGGCATGATGTCACAGATGTCAAGATAAATTCTTTCCAGAAGGGAGTGGGAGTGGTCAATTGTGACAAACCACTGCTAAAAAATCAAGAAAGATAAGAACAGAAAAGTGACCAAAGGGTTTGGCAATAGCAAAGAGTCCTGGGTGGAGAGAGGGTATTATACTCAAGTAGGAAGATATCAACACAGTTGCTGTCTGTGTGTTGGTTAGAATAGCCTAGGCTCTGCTGTGGTACTGAATAACCCAAGTATCTCAATGACTTAACAAAATATTTTATCTAACCCTATAAGGCTTTCTAGGGGTCAAGACCCTGTACAAGGTTACTCTCCTTCCTTACTTCCAGCATACTCAGAGTCCATCCTGGGTGCCACTGTCTCAACACAAAGCTTTCAGGATTGCCTCCACAGAAGAAAGAGAGCTGGATGGTTTTGCACACATGTTATTCTACTCACATAGCCAGAACTATCACATGGGCCCTATCTAACCGCAGAGGGCCTGGGAAATGTGGGGGGGAAAACCATAGGCTATTTAGTAAGCAATATTATCTCTGCCACAGTTGCTGACTCTGTCTTTAGTGCCCGACATCGTGATCAATTGCAGCCTGCCTTTTGAGAAGGGTGGGAGAGAGCAGCTGGCTTGTTTCTTGGGTCAAATTGTGCCAAAAGAAGATTGGGACTCCTGATGTTTTTTAGGTGCTTTTCCCTGTGCAGTTGACAGAAACAGCTATCAGAATTCTAGCTTGCTGAAAACTCACTAAATGTTTGTTTGTTTTGCCACTGGCTCTTAAAAAAGTCAGCCTCAGTCCAAAGCTGCCACTATCAACTGGGTGTGGTGGTCCATGCCTGTAATGCCAGCATTCTGGGAGGCTGAGGCAAAAGAACCTAAAGTTCAAGCAAGTCCAGACTGGATGACTTAGTAAGACCTGTTCTCAAAGTATAACCAAAAGGCTGAGATGTAGCTCAGTATGAAGGCCCGGGTTCAATCCCTGGTAACACCAAAACAAAAACTAAACCAACAAGCAAAACTACCACTATCAGTGCTTTGGTAAAAAACTGACCTCTCATAGCGGGCTGGGGTATAGTTCAGTGGGCAAGGGCTTGCTTAGCCTGCATGATGCCTTGGATTCCATGGCCAGCTCCAGGAGAAAAGAAAATCAGCTTCTCCTAAATGCCATTGGCCTTTGGCTCCATTTCTCCTGGGCTTTCTGTCCTCTGAAATCATCATCCTTGAAGAGAAAGACTGAAGCAATTCCTCCCACTTTTAATTCTGTGTCTCTCCTTGATAGAAATCAAATAGTGACTCAGAGAGATGGCGTGAAGGGGAGAAGGATTTTCACTCATCTGTTCACTCATTCACATTGGTACTTTGCATGCGGCCTTTTGCCAGGCAGGAGGGTCCTGAAGAAAAAAATAGGTCATTTTATGGGCATTATGGAAAGGAAAGCAGGGCTGGGGATTTAGCTCAGCGGTTCGGTGGCCTGCCTTGCAAGCACAGGGACCCGAGTTCAATCCCTGGTACCAAAAAATCAAAAACAAAAACAGAAAGGAAAGCAGATGGTTGGGCTATTCAGTGAAACGATCATGTACAGAAAGCTCTGACAGACCAGCGGTCGTCAGGAATGGCTTTCCTGGGGATGATCCCCATGAGCTGGGACACAAAGGACAAGTGGGTAAGGACATTCCAAAGTGAGGGAGCCAGAAGAGGCTTAATGGCAGGATCAGCTCAAGAAAGTGTGAGTGGCAGGGTATGACCGGAGGACAGATTAGCAAAACGTCTGTGACAAGGAAGTGAAAGGCTCTGTATTATGGCTCCATCAGATGCAGGGAACAGAAGCCTGGCATGAATGAGCCCAGTCCCAAAAGTGACTTCTGGCTCACATAAGCCTTGGAGATGTTGGTGCTGCTGCAGCTGGACCCAAGGAGAACCTGCATCAAGGAAACCTCCCAACTCCTGCAGCCCATTGTTCATGTCAGCATCATCTTCTTATTTTATTGTGATAAAAATACATACCATAAAATGTTACGTGGGCTGGGGATTTAGCTCAGTGGCACTGCACCTGCCTTGCAAGCACAAGACCCTGAGTTTGATCACTGGTACCCCCCCCAAAATATCTTATGTGTACAGTTTAGTGACAAGTATATTCATATTACATGGCTACCATGCCCTTCTCCCCACATCCTTTTAAGCACTGCGGATGGAACCCAGGGCTTTGCACATACTAAACAAGCACTCTGTCCCTGAGTTGTACACCTAGCACTTCATTTTTTCAGACCATTTTTCTCTCCAAACTGGACCTGTACTCCACAGCAATTACCAGCTTGTTCCTCCTAGCTTCCTCACTAGAGAGATGAGTAATTCTTTTTCTTTGTTCCAAATCCTCAGTATCCTACAGAAGGACTGACTGAGTAGGCTTAGCTACATATTTGTTTACAGCTGTGGTCCTGGGGCATAAGAATGCCATGATTTAGACCACCTAGACCACATGACTGGAGGAAATTGTGAGGGGAGAGCAGTTCTCCAAAGGAAGGAGCTATAAAGCCGCCTAGGCATGTTCATGCACGTCTATAATCCTAGCACTCAGGATGCTGAGGCAGGAGGATTGCCATGAGGCTAACCCCCCTAGCAGGAGCTACATAGCAAGACCCTGTCTCAAAAATTAAAAAAAAAAAGGAACTCTATTATCACAAGGGAGGGGCCAAAAACATGAAATATGTAATGTTCACTAGAGATAAGTTGGGACTGGGCTATCAGGAAGGCATTGTGACAATCAAGAAAAGCCATAGATCAATGAGGTTGGACTATAAGACCTGTTCTTTTCTTACTTGAGGCTCTACTTTTGAGCTTTCTCTTGCCTTCCAACATTGCTCTGCAAACTAATTTTAATCGTATGTTACCTGAATCTTGACTTGGCCCTAGCTCTTGTCTCTGGCTGCAGAGGTGACCTCTATTTTTTGTGATCCCCCTTTCCCTCTGGATCAGGAGGAAAGAAAGCCTGCTCAGCCTAATTGGCTCACCACCTATCTCCTAGGTCTACTAACCCTTTCTTATCCCATCTGTCTCAGGGAATGGCTGCCCATCCACCTACAAATCCTCCTGCCTCTGACCTGTCTCTGGACACACACACACACACACACACACACACACACACACACGCACGCATACATCCTGCAACCAAGTCCTATCCATCTGACAACCCACACACACACTCACACACTTTTTGTGTTTACAGGCATTGCCCTGGTTCAATTCTCTAGGTTTCTTGCTAGACTTTATCTCCAGCTCCTTGGGAAGTCTCTTTTGGGAAGTGAATGACTCAGGTCTACCCCTAATCAAACACTTTCTATAGCTACTGCTGTAGAAAGGCTTATCTCCTTCCATGCCTCCAGGGACTCAAGCCATTTGGCCCTTGTTATCTAACAGGCCCAGAATCATCAAGCCTTGGTTCTTTGAAAATGCGGCTCCTTTTTCCTGTTAAACCCTTCCTATCTCCCTCCAGCCTTGGTTTGTGACCCTATGGACCATATACTCTAGGCTCATTACCATGGTTATCACCTTCCCTCTAGAACCAAACT